ATTAATATAACTCTACAATATATTAAAATTATAAAAATATCATAATTTTCTTCCCAATAACTCGCCGGAGATAACTTATCTTCATTGAGTTGGAGAAATCTTTACCCTTTATTTATTTGGTATTACTAAATAAAGTTGAACACATTCTAACTATTCATTCTTATTAAATATGAATCATTAATTCATATTTCTAATTAAAAAATCATATTTCAGTACTTTTAAATTATTTTAAATTAAATAAAAAATAAAAAACATAAAACTTGCTCGTCTTCTTCTTTGGGACTAAGACAAAAATACTAAACTTAAGGCTCACCGTTAGTAAATTGATTATATGTTAAGAAAAGAATTATTTAATCTTTAAGCTTCTAGATGTATAGTTGATTAGCTATTATTATGATGTTTGAATCTCTATGATTGAGTGTAAATAATTTAAGCATTGTTAATAGAGTTAAATTTCTAAAGGGTAAAAGAAACTCCAAGTCCAAACAATTTCTGCATAATATTGTATATTAGATATAAGAAATCGCAAGTATCAGTTAAAAACTTAAATCTTTGATATAGATGATTTTTTACTATTACAAATTTTATTTAAAAATATTTTTTTATGTGCCAAAATATTTACAGTATTATGTATTCTTGTTTTCCAAAAAAAAAAATATGTAATTTTTTTTGTTTAATAAGAATACGTATTTACAATTTTTATATATAAATGTGTTCCTACACATTTTTATACGACTAAAATTTACAAATAGTTTAAAGTGTCTCGTGTTGATGAGGTGTTAAAAATATCTTGTACATATATACATTACAGTGTGAGGCTTAATTTTTCTCTATCTATTAGTTCTCCTCATATGGATCCCCAAGGCCAACACACATATATAAATGTGTATAGGAAATAATTTTATCTTTTATAATATGAGGAACTTTAAACCCAAATACAAATTGGGGATGGAAAAATTGTCATTTTAAAGATTATCATTAACCAAAGGGATTGGTTCAAGTGGTACATGCTTGATTCCACTCAAGCAAGGTCTTGGATTCAAATTTTTGTGAATACAAAAAAATTTCTTTGAAAGAACTAGCCCCATCATGATATGAATATTCTTGGCTGGAATAAGATTATCTCCCATGGAGTCATATTTGCATCCTCTCATGTAATATATTTAATCTGATGATGTTATGCGTGTGATAATCCTAATCATTTATGGACAAATATGATGACAGATAAAAGAGAAAAATATTAAAATAAAAAGTGACAACTGGCAATATCATCCTCATTGATTTCGTATATGAATGAGTAAGATCTTCTCACATATTAAATAACACTTGAAAGTTTCCACTTCCATATTTATCTAATTCAATATATATCTAAGCGAAAGAAAGAAGTCACCTAGATTTAAATGGAACTTATTATTACGTATGGTGTATCACTGCAAGTATAATGCAAATAGTAATACTCATCCCTGCCTACAAACTCGGTAGTTGGAGAATCATAATTATATGGTAGAAAAGCATTCGCCAGAAAATTCATATGTACCAAGTTTACGGGCAGCCTTCATGACCAGATTCTTAAAGTTAATTGGTCGTGCCAACAAGTTCATTCAATTCATGTAACTTAATGGTTGTTACTTTGCAGAAGGATCACTAGGATCATGTGCATTTAATGCACGCCATAATTGTAGATTCACATGCTGGAGCATATACACTGTTCATCCTAAGAGGAGGTGTGTAAGATATAATGCTTTTGGTAATGGCCCCCTGATGCATCCTTCTGCTGAAAAGCTACAAGAAAGCAGTATTAGTGGTCCTAATTGAGAGGAATATTTTCAAAGAGTGTGGTCCTGAGTGAAATATGAAAAAATGGACTTAATTTGTATGTGTATTGCCATTTCTGAAGAAAAACATGTATGCTTCTAATCATATTTGTACACCCTATATAGAGAATGGCATCATGAGTTTGATACCATGATAAAGTACTTATGACTGTAGACATTTTTAATGTCTTAAATAAACATCAATCTCACGCTTAAAGACTGAGAAAAATATTTCACAAAAAAAAAAAGGACTGAAAAAATATTATAAGATAAAAAAAACAAATAATGACATTGGGAGATTATTAAAAGATAATAAAAGAAAAAGTGCAAAGAGTAAATTGTTACGTTATTTTCAAAATATTAGTTATTACTTATTATTTTATGTGATATTCAATTGATATTGTAATATAATGATAATGTTTTATAAAATACACAAAAAATGATAATGATTTATACAATTTAACACAAAAAGATTGACCCAATAGTTTTAAAAAATCAATATTTTAAAATTAATTAACGTAAGTTACCTAAAATATTACCCTTAAGTTTATCACTCATTTTTATAAGAATTTGTCAACTTTTAAGTCCTAAATGTTAATATGATTCATCAGAAAAACAAATAAAAATTAAGGATAAAATAGTGTAACAACTCAATTATCACTTTTTTAAAATTATTAAACCTTTATATAATAGGAAATAAATATCTAATGATTAAATAAAATGTATGTTCAAGAAAAAGACGATTATATTAGTTTATTATAACTGGATTGATCTAACATGTCAATATACGTGCTTTATTTAAAATCAAATAAAATGAAGGGATAAAATAATAAAACAATACACTAGCCAGCACTATTTTTAAATTATTCACTCTTTATCTACTAGTTCAAGAGAGCTGAGTTGGGTGAGAAAAGATTTCGATTCCATCTTCATTAATATCATTTTGGGGAAGAATTTAAAATTTAATATCAATCTCGTCCCGTGTTCGGAATTATTTTCATAGCCGATTCAAAAAATTAAAATTTGTGCAAATATCTGAAGAAGCTTAATCGTTTCAAAGAAATAGTTACGGTATGTTTCCGAAAAAGAGGATTATATCAGTTTATTCTCTCGATTATTCCAAAATATTGATATATATTTAAAAATAAAACAAATAAAATTAGAGGACAGAAAAAAAACATTAGCAAGTTTGGTAAACAGTCTTTTCAAGTTATTAACTCATACCCTGAACAAAAGGATTTTGAGAGTTTAACAGTTAACGCAACAATAGATGCATTTTTTCATAGATAGAAAATATTAAATATATTCTTCTATTAATTTTATAATAATTAAAGATTTTATAATTTTCATAATCAACTAAATTTGAGATTTAATTGTGAAATTAAAGTTACAGTAAAATATAAAAGGATAGGTTATACAGGGTTGGCAAACCCGGCTCGATCCGGCCCAATCCGTAAAAAACGAGTCGAGTTAGGATTTGCCCGAAAAAATAAATGAGCCAGAAAATTCAACCCAGCCCGACTCGAGCCGGGTTAGGGTTGGCTCGTAGGTTGGCTTGATAATCAGCTCACGGGTTGGCTCTGAAAAAAGCTCGCGGGTTGGCTCAAAAAAAGCTCGCAGATCAGCTCGAAATGATGCTAGTGGGTTGGCTCAAAAAAATTGATTTTGGTGGAACTAGTCTTATTTATGGACTTGTACTAAACAAGTTTAAAGTTATAAGTTTTCATCTTCCACTGATCAAAATTAAGCCAAATAAAATCAAACAGTCAAAATAAAATGAAAAAAAATACTTCACAGCAATAAACATACAAATGGACCAAAATACTACCATATTCTTAATAAAATTTATAAGTTTCTAATTGGAAAAGCTAATTATTTATAAGTTCAAAATGTAAGCTTTCATCTTTCATATTATTATTATTATTATTATTATTATTATTTTAATACAGTCATATTATTTTTTATTTTTTTAATTAAAAAAAATACCGAACCCGCGAGTTGTCCCGTTTGACCCGTGGACTGGCTCGTTTGGGTCGGGTTGAGTCGGGTTGGCAGCTCATTTAGGCCAACCCAACCCGACTCATTTAAGAAGGATTGGCTTGTTTTTGCCATCCTAGTTATACTTACCATCATTTTATGTTTATCATTTTTACTATCTGATTAATTATCGTTGAATCAATAATTGAAATCAACAATAGTTATTTTTTTTCTTTTTCAACCGTTAATTTTAAATTAATTGATCGATAATTAATTATATAATAAGGATAATAAACCTAAAATAATGATAAGTATCACGTCTCAAATATAAATTGAAGTTGACGTAAGTTGTTGTTTATCTGTAATATTCTCCAAAGCATCAATACTGGAAAAAAAAATACAGCATAAAGAGTAAAACGGATTTAAATTTGAAGTTCCACATTTTACCAAAAAAGAAGAAGAAGAAGTTCCACAGTTTGTTTCAAAACTATATTCAAATTGACCCCCTTGTTTTTGTTTTAATGTTAAGAGGTTTCTTTACAGTTTGGTATAACATTAATTCTTGTTTCTAGAGACAAAAATTATTATGTTTTATATATTATACATGTGTATTTGTTTTATCATCATGTCAATCACAGTATTTTCATCATTGAATTATACTTTTCCATTTAAAATAATTTCATCAATTCTGGAAATGTCAGCTATGACTTTACCTATCTTTGGTTTTGACTTGTGGTTGCTTTAGTCTAAGCCATCGCGTATAAAAAGGTATTTACAATTATTTTTAGTTAAATTAAAAAATAATTTGAATATTTGTATTAAATGTTTCAAGCTTATTAAAAGAAATTCTAAAACAGGTTATCTTATAAAAGCATATTTTTAAAAAAAAAAAAATACTTATCTTAATACACTTTTGACTTTAAAAAAACACTAGAATAATTCAAATAGGAATATTGGAGAATAGATTAGATTAGATTAGAGACACGTTTTCTAAAACTAAAATTTTCAAAGTTGAAATTGAAACTATCAATTTCTTGTCATTAATTTATTTCATAATAGACGTATTTTGAAGCGTACGTCAAATGTTCTTTCCTATAAACAAAGTACAACACACTCTCTCTCTCTCTCTCTCTCTCTCTGTCGCTGTTGTTGCCAACTATGAATGCTAACCTCAACTGAACCTTCCTTAAACTCAGCCCCACAAAACAGAACACACAAATTTTCTCTCTTTCTTTCTCTTTCTCTGTTTCTCTTTCTATAGTCTTCCTTTGCATGCGCCACCACAACCAAGACCAATACCAATGGGAAACATCTGTACTCTCTTCAAGCATAAGCCACCGCCACCAACCACCACAAAGAAGCGTTCCTCCGGCAACCGTTCTTCTTCGAGGAAAGAGAAGAAGCTCGACGATGCTGCGATTCGAGAGCAGGCTATAGCTGCTGCCATACTCTTCAAGCAGCACCAGGCGCAGTTCGATCGTTCAAGTTCTCTACGCTACGCCAATGGCCACTCTAAGAAGAACGCCTTGCCACGAAGTTCGAGTTCCAGAGCCAGGTCCCTCACTGACCCTCTCCTCCAACCCCATCAGCTTCTTAATCAGGTACTTTGCTTTCATTTTTGTTATCCTTGTTTTTGATTTGTACCATGGTCTTGTTTGTGGGTTTTTGTTCAAAAGGATGGAACTTGATCATGGTTGATCATGATCATGGTCTTAATTTGAAGCGAGAAAAAGAGTCATCACGTGATTTTTTTAAAAAACTGATTTATTTATTTATTGGGGTTGATTTGGTTTGTTGTATTTATATCAGGTGATTATGGAAATTTTGACAATTTAGTTAATTTTGGAGTGATGGGGTTCTTGTTTTCTGATTATCAATTTTTTTTTTTTAATTTGGTTTGCTTTAATGGGCGATTTGATATTTACGACAAAATTGATTTTTCTTTTTTTTTTTGGTCCTCCCCTCTTCAGAATGAGGCCTTCCTTGAAGCCATGGGCTTACAATAATTACTGGATGGGGTTTCTATGATGATGTAGTTTCTTAGACTTACAAGGAGATGATGATTTGGGAAATGAAATAAGATGTTGAAGAAAATTGAAGAATTCTGGAATGGATTGGTGTGTTATGATGATCAGGTTTCTTAGACTTATATCAGAACAGTGTAGGGAAATAAAATTATTTGTTTGGTTTACATCCACTATTATTATTAGTTCAAGAGGCAATTGTAAAGGCACGTGTTAAAGCGTTATGGGGTGCCATGTGCTATAGGCACTTAAATTATAATTTTCTTCGAGAATAATGCGTTTGAGTTTGAATAATCGGAGGGCATATGAAGGAGGAGAGGTTTCAACTTTTGAAGTGTTTTTTACTGGAAGTTAGGTGTAGCTTTGAAGGTAACCTTGTTTTGCCTGTTTCTTGTAACAACAGAGATATCAGGGTTTCTAAAATGACATTGAAACTCAGATGGATCCAATAATGTTCTTTCTGACTTGATGATGTAAATTTAGTGTCATTTTCTTAATTAAACATTTATATTAAAATATTCCCAGCTTCTTTGATTCTGGAATGGTGTTGCATAAAACAGGAATCCACTTTATTCATTTACTTTTTTGTTAGTAAAGCAAAAAAGCTGGTATACTGTTAATATATCCACGTTATCTTTGCCAGTTGTAGGGTGAAAAGTCAGCACATTATTTGTTTTTAATTCGAATATTGAGAGTTCTTCATTTTTTCCTTTCCCTGTCATCTTTGTTGTTGTATTTTCTTTAGCTTATACATGCAGATTTTCAATTTGACAGGGTGTAAAGGTTGATGAACTTGAGACCAATCATTTTGTCCTTGTTCATGGAGGTGGCTTCGGGGCCTGGTGTTGGTACAAAACTATAGCACTTCTAGAAGAAAGTGGCTATAAAGTAGCTGCCATAGATTTAACTGGTTCTGGAGTCCATTCATTTGATACCAACAACATTACAAGTCTGTCACAATATGTGAAGCCACTTACTGACTTCCTTGAAAAACTTCCTGAAGGAGATAAGGTACTTATTTTATTGCTTCCTGAGCATCGTAATTATAACTAATGAATAGTTCTATTCTATCTTCATTGTATATCTCCATTGCCTGTATTGACTGTGTTCGAGTATTTCAGTGGGGGAGGTAGGATGCATGCCATTTAGCATATATGTTTTTTTTTTTTCAATCATTGCCAGCTTCCTGTCAAAGATATGGCTTTTGTGGCTTGTCTTATCTCTGTCTCTTTCTCTCTCTTCCCCGCAAATGTATCTTAGCTCTATAAAATTTAAAATCATGCGTAAGAGGTTTAAGTGGAGTTATGAATTTCAACGTAGATGAATGGTCAAGAAGAAAAGTTAAGGAACAGAGTTTCCAATGTATAAAGATACCCTATATGTAGTATTGTAGTTCAAAACAAGAGGAATTTGATTTAATTGTGAAAAGATTTAGGAGCACAAAAAAAAGGTGCTGGAAAGCAAAGCAATTGAATTTGGAGTAAAAAAGGTGTAGAGAAAATTAATACGAAGAGATAAAAATTATACAATTGCAGAAGACGTAAATCAAGATGTTACCTTTGTTATGGTTGAGTAGCGAAAGGAAAAGTTATGTGGTTATCTTAGTTACTTTGGATTTATGGTTTACTTGAGTTCTTCTATTCTGCAAAAATTAGTACAGCTTTCCAGAAATTGCTTAGGATATGTGGTGACCAGTCACATAGTTAACATGATTGCAGTAGTCTTAGTTTTTTTCTCTATATTTTCCGAAGTGTTAAAAGTTTCAATTTAGCTTGGTACAGATGGAACATATTGTACTTAGACACACAGTGTACTTTTAAATTATTCTTTTTAAATCGCACTGGTGAAAACCCATGTGAAATGTAAATGTTTCACCATCAATACACTCCTGGTAGGACACTGATGTTTTGTTACTGGACCATTTGACATTGTTGCTTGCTAGGATGTGATATTTGGTATGACAAAATCTATAATAGCATTTGGTAAATGTGTTAGAAAAATGGGTCGGAACACATGGGTTCTATTCTATGTTTGGTTCAATTTAAAAAATAGAAAATAGAAAATAGAAAATAAAAAATGGACCTATGCAATATCCATGCTTTGAACCAAAAACTAAAAATTTTAGAAAATAGGGTCTTGTGTGAGGGGCGTGTTAAGAGATATGATAAAGTCATTCACGTGCCTCCTCTAATTGGCTTGAGCTTTTTTTGGGAGAGTTAGTTGCATGACATGTCCTGATGTCCACGCGTCAAATTGCTACCTACTTTGAGAATAAGTTATCTGCAAAGTATTCTTTCCACGTATTTTTAATTTTCTTTCTGCTTCTTCTGAAGGTGATTTTGGTTGGACATGATTTTGGTGGGGCATGTATATCGTATGCGATGGAGTTGTTTCCTCTTAAGATTTCCAAGGCTGTTTTTATTGCTGCAGCAATGCTGACTAGCGGACATAGTACTCTTGATATCATTTCTCAACAGGTTTTCCATCTCCTTCTAGCATCAATATTGATATATCTTAATTTTCACTTGTTCTGTGAACTGAAATTTACAAGTTCTATCAAATTTACGCAGAGCTTGGAAAAAAAAAGGGCAGGTCCTGTGATGGGGACGGGGTAGTCATGGAATAGTAATATTATTATTATTCTGAATTTTGTTACGATTTTTCAAATATGTACAGTAACATGATTGAATCCTTCCCAAACATTTCAGTATTTTCAGTTACCTCTTTGCATATGGCTAACAGTAGCACTTGAATTGCAAAATGAAATGCATCATGCGCAGTCATTTTGCCTCAATTGTATTTTGTTCTTTGTGTTGAGAAGTTTTTGTAATACATAAAAAAGTTACAGATGTGTGATTCCAAACATTTGAAAGTTGAAAAGCCATTTGCCAGAGGTATACACCTACTTTATGGCTGGTTGGTTGTGCAAAATATGCACAAACTCTTTGCTAACCTGATGAAGTTACTATTGTTTCTAGTAAAATTATAATATCACTCTCCCTTGGAGAAGAATGTTTACATTTTAGATGGGACTGAGACTGAAAACAGAGACAGAGAGCATCATAATTATTTCTGCCGGTCAAATACAATGCAGTTAAAATATTTATAAATAAATAGTTCTTTTATCCTATTAGTGATGATTTGATTGTGGCTATCTGTTGCAGGCAGGTTCAAATGATCTTATGCAACAGGCTCAGATTTTTTTGTATGCTAATGGGAATGATCGCCCTCCCACTTCTATTGATCTGGACAAGTCTTTGTTGAGGGATTTGTTATTCAACCTATGTCCCACCAAAGTAAGTAGTATACACGTAAAAGTAAAAGTCTATTATTTTATTTTATTTTTTTTAATTTTAGCATTCAACTGTTATGAGAGGGCTTTTTCTAAGTGTTTTTGGGCTTGGGACTTCCAATTTTTTTAGTTTTTAGTAAACATACCCTTGACTTTTATAAGCTTTAATTATATGTATGAATGAAAATGTTAATATTTAGTAAGATACAGAAGTTACATATGGGCTCTTGAAGTGCTTGTTCTTCTTGGGGGTCAAACGAATTTAGTATATCTGAAGGAGAAAGCAAGTGATTGGATATCTATTTCATATGTGAAAATTTTCAAAAAAAAAAAGAAATGCCTTAGGGTGCCAAATTTCCTCTTATTGTTCACTGTCAAAGAATACAAACAGAAGCATCCCCCCCTGCTGCTGCATTGGCTTTTTTTTTTTTTTTTAAATTAAAATGGCAATACCTGTGAAAGTGACTTAAGTACCTCATTTCCAGCGTCTTATTCAGTCTGAGTTGATAAAGATGTGCAAACTATTCTTTGGCGTTTGATGACTGAATCTGTTTGTGTAAACCATTTAATTAGTTGATCCTAGATTTATTGAGGACTAAACTTCTTATCAAAGTGAGTTTTGACACATGAAAAATACATGTTAGATGAGAAGTGAGATTGTGCAATTAGTTGTATTGTGGGCAACTGGTTTATCGAGTGCTTCATAATTTTCAAATTGATAGTTTTCAATGTTGTCATTTGAACTCTGTAGTTTAACAAGTACGCTACAAAATGACTCCGTATGATTCTTTGGCAAATCAAGCACATAATATTTCTCAGAAAGATGGTTACTTATGCATTATGTTGCAGGAGGAAGCTGATATCCCTTGTGTTGTATAACACAAAAAATATGGCATATTTTGTAATGAAGTCTTTTGTGAAAGCCTTGCTCTCAGGATCTCTCCCTAACCAACCAAATATGGTCTCTAGCAATAGGGGATGCATTTGTAAATAAATATACTGACTACTACATAATTAAATAATTTGTGCTTTGGAATCAAAGCTTTGTTTCTCTCTCTCGTTTTTGATAGTTTGGGATAGTGCCTATATCTATTTTCCCTAACCCCCCTTGTTGATTGATTGCTTTCTTAAAACAGGATGTTGCTTTAGCTTCTGTCTCAATGAGGCCCACACCATTTGCACCAGTTTTAGAGAAACTTTCCCTTTCAGACCTGAAATATGGATCTGTAAGGAGGTTTTATATAGAAACTCTTGAAGACAATGCCATACCCATCTCACTCCAGGAGAACATGATAAATGCAAGCCCCCCAGAAAAGGTTTTCCGTTTGAAGGGTGCTGATCATTCTCCTTTTTTCTCAAAGCCTCAAGCTCTTCATAAGTTACTGGTAGAGATCTCAAAGATCCGTTAAGAACATTCATTGCCTATATTGTTTGTGAAGTCCCATCCATGCTAAAAGCTTCATTAACATGAAATAGGAATGTGCAGTTGCCTTATCATGAAAGTGTATTGTGTGCAAGTCTCAGGTTTCATTCTTCTTCTTCTTTGGAGTTAAGCTAGAAAACTTGCTTGTTTAACCTGTAACTTGCAACAGGTATTACTTACAACAGAAAAACCATGTTATATTGCAAGCATTACTAGTTAAGAGTGTCAAGGTTTTCTGATTAAAGTTGCAAGTTACCTGATAGACAATAAAAAAAAAAATACTTGTAAATTGTTACTATTAAGGAAATTTTATGGTAACGCCACCTTCCATCTTAGTAAGGGATCATCACAATGCAGAGGTACATTGGAAGGAAGAAAGTCTTGGTCATCAAATGTGTTAACATTCTTTTGATGTTCCAATAATGCTGCTGGTTGCTGGAGGTTTACATTTTGAGAGTCCTGGAGACTCCTTAGAGGTTTACATTCTTCTTCTTCTTCTCTTTTTTTTTTTTTAAGGTAGTTTTCCCAAATATTTTTGCATGCCACTCTAATTATGATAAGTAATTTTGTATCTTTTGCAACATGAGTAAATAAATTCCTTGTGTTTTACAAATTGCAAGAAAGCTGAGATGCTCTAATGTTTTTGAATAATGCCTTTACGATTTATGGTGATTGGTGATTCTGTTGCTATCTCGCATGATAGTGCCTAGCCTGACTAAAAATAGAACTAGCCCGGAAAAAGTGGATGTTATAATTTAGGGAAATACTACTCTCATTTTACATGAGGTAGTTATCTCCTTTTTTTTTTTTTTAAATAGCAGGTCCTACTTGGATTCTCTCTGTGACATGAGAGAACTACTCTCATGTTACATGAGAGTAATATTATCCTATAATTTATGTAGAATAGTCATTAAATCATGCTTGGAATCAGTAACTAGTAGAATACAATTGCATTTTATAAAATTAAACAAATATTGCTCGAGTTGAATGAATGCTTATGCAAATCAATTGAATTGAAATTTAGTAGATAATGACTGAGTAAAGTTTAACTCCGTCTTGGTATTTAAAAAGTTAGGTTACTTTTTAAGATTATTTTTTCAATTCACTGGTATTAATAATAAGAAACAAAAACCTAACTTTTTAAGATTATTGTTTCAATTCACTGGTATTAATAATAAGAAACAAATTAGAGTTGGTATTCGTGGTAATTAAAATTTTGATTTATCATTATGATTTTATGTTTTCACAATTTATTTTCTCCAAAATGATTTTACTAATATTTTTATGCTCTTTTATAAAAAAAATTATGTTGAATGATTTTTTATTTTCTTTCTAATTTTATATAAAATCTCAATTTTAACTTCCTTGGTAGGCCTTGGACCTGGCTTTAGCACGGTTGTAATAAGAAACAACGAAATGTTAATAAAAATGAATAAGAAAGTGAACATAAACAAAGCTAAGCTATGGGCTTTGAGTCAATTTATTGATTATATTTTGAACATTTTGTATAAAGAATTTGTCACGATTCAGACTCCAAACTTGGTTATGATTGAAATAAAATATTGATTGCGACTATATTGGTAATGGCTGTCAGGGGTGACTGACAATCTGAGATATCACTTATAATAGATAATCACAATTCGGTAACGTCGTAAATATTCTCCTTGCAGTTAAAATTAAAACTCAAATGCAAAAATAGTGATTCAAGATCTTAAATCCCAAATCTCACAGAAAACATTTTCAGAAACCAACCTACCGTATTACTTACTCATATACCTATTTCTAATCCCATAAACACTTCAATTATAACCCGTTAAGCACGACCCCGAGGGTTGATTTTATCTCAAATGTTGTAAAGAAACTTGGATACACCACTCCAAAAGCTAGCTCAAGGGGTGAGGGAGTGTCCAAAGTCTTATAAAGACCACATTAGTTGCTCATACAACCAATGTGGAATTATATATCTCAACACGCTCCCATACATAACTCAAGGGGTGTGGGACTATATATCTCAACACGCTCCCTTACACAAGGGCCCTTTGGACTTGAAGGGTGGATTATGTTTGTGTTTTTTGTGGACGGTAAGGATCTGATACCATGTAAAGAACCTTGGAATACACCACCCCAAAAGTTAGCTTAAGGGGTGGGAGTGCCCAAAGGCTTATAAATTTCATATTAGTTGCTCTGGGACTATATATCTCAACCACAAAAAAGTAAGTTTGACATTTTCAAACTTGGCATTTAGTTGGCAACAACTTCGTGACTGGTAGCTACTTCTACTTGTATTGTTTCTCGGTAATTTCGCTACCTTTCAAGACCCCCGCACAATAAATGCAGCTTCTGGCAAACCAAAAGAAACCAAGAACAAAGAAAAAGAAAAATCTACTCTTCATTTTCTTCAACAAACACTCTTACCCAAATATGGTGAACTTCAGAAAGAACAAAGCTCCCTTTGAGATCAACCTCTCTCTGCTTTTTTTTCTCCTTCAACTTCAACTTTTGTTCATTCTGCAGGCTTACTCATACAATTACAACCCTGCTGATAATTTTGCTGTTAACTGTGGCAACTCCCGAAATATTAGCTTTCAAAATCGAAAATGGGTTGGAGACGACGTTGACACCAAACCATTTTCAATCATTGAATCACAAACTAGTCAATCATTGAATGCACCTAACCCTCCTACCTCAGTTCCATTTGGTTCCGCACGAATCTCTCACTCCAAATTCACATACTCTTTCCCAGTCACCAACGGTCCAAAGTTCATTCGGCTTCACTTTTATCCAACTTCATATCTCAACTTTGAACCCAACAACTCCCTCTTCTCTGTCATAGTAGGAAGCGACCTTACCCTTCTCAAAGACTTCAAACCCTTACTTTGGGTTCACAACAATCCTGATGATAACAAAATCACCAAAGAGTACTGTATCAACGTGGAAAAAGGTGAGAGCTTAAACATAACCTTCATTCCCAGCACCAATCACTCCAACGCTTACGCTTTCATCAACGGAATTGAGGTCGTGTCTATGCCCACCCACCTCTATTACAGTGATCCAAACGTAGATGATCCTAATTTGGAGGTTAAACTCGTGGGTCCTGATAACTACACTCCACACCCAATTCAAAATTCCAAAGCGTTGGAGACACTTTACAGAGTCAACGTTGGCGATCCCCAGGTTCCACCAAGTAATGATACTGGTATGTTTCGGAATTGGGACAACGATTATCCTCTCTACTTGGAGAAGCAATATGGCCAAACTGTATCAAGTGGCTATGGAATTACTCCAATCTACAAAGATAATGTTACTCCAAATTACACAGCACCAAGCGAAGTATACCTCACTGCAAGAAGTTACGGGAAGGGTGCGACTGAGAATTATAATGTGACATGGAATTTTGAAGTGGACTCAGAGTTTACTTATATGGTGAGGTTACATTTCTGCGAGTTTGACAAATTGATTCAAAGTTACGGTGATAGAACTTTCCAGATTTTTATAGATGACACTTTGGCTGAGGAAAAAGCCGATGTTATTGGCTGGAGTGGAGGTTACCTTGTTCCTGTTCGTAAGGATTATGCTGTGCTTATGTCCAAACATGGAAGCACTGAGAAAGTTAACCTTTCGATCAAACTTCAACGGTTGCCAGAGGGAGAAGGTAACACCAAATATGTTGATGTCATATTGAATGGCATCGAGGTTTTCAAGATAAGTGACGAAAATAACAACCTCGCTGGAACAAATCCTGAACCAACAACTCTGTCTCCTCCTCCGGGACAAGTGGTTCAAACAGAGTCATCAAAGAAATCGAAGAAGACCATTGTAGTTATCATTGCCGCGGTTGCAATTTCGAGCCTCGTGATTGTGTTTGTTGTTATTGGGTTTTTAGTTTTACGGGGAAGGAAAAGAGGTGGTGACGTGGATGAAAATGAAAACTCATCATGGAAGAGAAAGAATGAAGGTTCGTCTTTACCATCCCATTTGTGTCGTTACTTTACAATCGCTGAGATAAGAGCTTCCACAAACAACTTCGATGATGTTTTCCTCATCGGCGTTGGAGGTTTCGGCAACGTGTACAAAGGTTACATCGATGGTTCCACACCCGTTGCGATCAAACGCCTTAAACAGGGTTCTCAACAGGGTTTCAATGAGTTCATGAACGAGATTGAGATGCTTTCTCAGCTTCGTCACCTTCATTTGGTTTCCCTCATTGGTTATTGCAACGATGGCGCAGAGATGATCCTTGTTTATGACTTCATGCAACGTGGCACTCTCCGCGAGTATCTCTACGACTCAGATAACGATCCCCTTCCGTGGAAACAGAGGCTCGAGATTCTATTGGGTGCGGCAAGAGGGTTGCATTATCTTCATGCGGGTGCGAAGCACAATATCATTCACCGTGACGTGAAAACCACCAACATCTTGTTGGATGAGAAATGGGTGGCTAAGGTTTCTGATTTCGGGTTATCCAAAGTGGGACCCACGGGGATGTCGAATACACACGTCAGCACGATCGTGAAGGGTAGTCTTGGGTATTTTGATCCTGAATACTGCAAGCGTCAAAGGTTGACTCTTAAGTCTGACGTGTACTCATTCGGTGTGGTGCTTCTCGAGGTGTTGTGTGCGAGGCCACCTTTGATTCGTAGGTTGGAGAAACAGAAGGCGAGTTTGGTTGATTGGGTTCGGAGATGTTATGATAAAGGAGAGATTGATCAGACGGTGGACCCGTTTCTGAAGGATTCAATCACGGATGAGTGTTTGAAATGTTATAGCCAGATGGCGTTGAGTTGTTTGCTAGATGATGGGAATCAACGGCCCTCGATGAGTGATGTGGTTGGGGCACTTGAGTTTGCAATGCAGTTGGTGGAGACTGATCAGGAAGATAACGAGTTTAGTGGGACCCAAGAAGTGGGAAAAAGTGAGCAAGGACCGTTGTTAACGAAGTTTTTGAGTGATGAAGGGAGTGATGTGCGTTTCACCAGTAGTGATGAATCGGTGTCAAAGTCAAGCAATGCGACAGCTGTCTCGGCCAGTACTGAGGAACAAGCTTTGGTTTCTGCTACGGTGTTCTCCGAGATTGCAAATCCAAGAGCACGATAGGAGTCGTTGTTTATATTTTGCAACGATGAATACACCCTTGTGTCTTAGATTGATAAAAAATCAATGGTTAGTATATAGTTATAAGAGTTTATAAATAAAATTAGGTATAACCTTTCTTAACATATATTGTTTAAATAAAATAATTTTAGCCCCTACGAAGGTGTTATTTTATCATATCGTATTTTTCCATGAAGTAAATGAAGAATTGGGGTTTCTAGTAGAGTTACCTGAATTTCTATATATGTTTGGTTTCTCATCCTCGTAGTCATGATTTAATTAGATAAAAGTTATAAAGATATATAAAGTTTTTTGTGCAAAGCAAACACATGTTTTGGTACTTTTCAAGTGGAAAACTAACGAGGCTAACGTGACTATGTTGAGTTCCCTGTTCTCCCTGCATCACGTCGTTGAACGTCAACTGTAATAAAATGTAATGTCTCTGCAGGAAAGAACAGTCTTTTTGTGGCAAAATTTTCCCGAAGACTTGAAGAAGTCTTCGTCTCCCCATCGTGTCCTTTTCAAGCGCATTCTAGTTTTCTTCAATTATATTCAAACGTATCAGTGGAAGCACAACTTCCGTTAAAAGCTTAACATTATTTGCGTTTTTGTAATTGCAAATTGCTATAAAATGAAGTGTGACACAACTTTATTCTTTGGTGGTTTTTAATTCATGATTGGGATTCCATAATGGGTGGAAGAGATTCACTCAAAAGATTAGTTCTGATGATCATTCCAATTTCCAAAGAGGCTAGTGGACTAATCTATGAGTATTGCTATCTATATATACTCAACAATGTTGTATAGTTAGAATTCTTTCAAAATAATACATAGTTAGAATTTTTCTCGTACGACATAATCATATTAATTTTTCTATATGACATAATCATATTAAGTAATACATAGTAAAAACTTTCTCATATCATATAGTCATATTAAATAATATATTAGAGGATTCATTCTTATTATATGTGACTATTATCATTCGGAAAGTTACATATACTAGGTACGTAATTAATGTCACGAGATTATGTTTTCCAAAAAAAAAAAAGTTTTCAAAAAAAATAAAATGTCACGAGATTATAACGGCAGTGCATCTGCCCTGCAAGTTGTGAAGGAAAAGAACTGAAAACGATAAAACCAGAATGCTTTTGGTGTTTCATATACTTGGGGCTATGTATGTTTAGAATATTCGTATATGTTCACCAAAATAGAATACTTATATATTGTTTATAATTTCCCATAGACTTTTCTCTATTCTTCCTCTTCCATCATTCACGTTACATCACGTCCTTTTTATGCATGTGATTTGCTCCTGTTGCGTTCAAATCAGGGTGTGTTTTGTTTCATTTGGAAGACTTTTCAAAAAATAAAAGACAAATTCAAGAGACAAGTATATCAACTTGATAATTTCCTGCAATTTTGACTGTGTGCCTTAAATTTTAAATTAGATTGTTCTCATGAATATGGCGTCCTAATTCCCTTGTAGCCTCTTCACCTCTAAATAGATTCTAATACCACTTAGGGTCTCTTTGGTGTGATGTATAAAACTTGATAGTATAAGCTTATACTATACGTTATGATATTTTCAGTTGTTTGGTGTAATCATCGTATAGTATAAGCTTATACAGCATAACCCCTTAATACATCAAAATGATGTATAATCCGGCCTAAGGTGGGTGGATTATGCCTGATAAGGGGTTGATCTATTAATATTGCTTACAATTACAATTTTCAAGAACTAATATATCATTTCAATATTAATATATTAAAATAATTTTTTTTAATATATTAATTTTTAAAATATTGGAGGATATTATCTTATACGATGTCATACCAAACCCTAGATAGTATTAAAATTTAATTAGGTCTTATACCATCAGGTCTTATACTATCAGGCTTTATCCTATACTATGTACCAAATATGTCCTTATTATTTGAACGCATGTCTTATCCAAAAAAACTACAAGTTTTTAAAAAAAATAACAAGGTTTATGTTAACAGAAAATCTAGTGTAATCTGTATTTAACATTTTGCCTTTCGATATTAATGATGCACACTACCATCATAAGATTGGCTAAATACTATTATCAATAACTAGCAGGTAGCTAGGAGCTCTGTTATAGACATAAGTACTACATTAATTTATTTTCTATTGCAAAGAATGAATGAATCTATTATTAAGGAATATAAATTGACATAAAGAAAACAAAGTATTTTTCTTAACACATTATTTATTAAATGTACACATAATAAAATGCATTATTAATATTAATACGTATTCTGTCAGTGAAAAAAAAATTCAATTGTGTTATTTAAAATATATATTTTTCTCATAAACTCTTTTTAAGCAACAAAAAGTAAATTATTTCCTTCCAAAAACGAGTCATAGGATAAAATGGTCGACATACAATAAGCAAAATGTAAAATAGTAGAATATATATATATATATATATATATATATATATATAAATAAATAAAAGAAGGATCCAAATTTACAAAAAAATTTATAAATTTTTGCAAATTACATTATGTACTCCCGGGAGAACATAATGTAACCTAGTGTTCTTCCGGGAGAATATAGTGTAGTTTGTAAATATAACTCTCTCCATGTATATATAGAGAGGCAAGATCTTCTTACACCGGTGTAAGAGTAATAACTCTTACACTCAATCTTAACAGTTGATTTTTGCATATCTGATAGTTATAATTAATAATTAATTAATGAGAATAATTTAATTAATTACAGTCGTTTGATGAACGAAAATTAATGGTTAAAATGAGTGTAAGATTTATTAGTCTTACACTGGTGTAAATTGATCTTGTCTTTTATATATATATATATATGGAATACGATCAACTTACATCTGTGTAAGAATAATAAGTCTTTCACCAAATCACCATTGATTTCTGTGCATCTAACTGTACGTAAATCAACAATTAAAATTTGGTGTAAGACTTATTATTTTTACATCGGTGTAAGATGATACTACCCCTATATATATATTAACCAAAATAGAATACTTATGTATAGTTTATAATTTCCATTGACTTTTCTCTAGGCTTCCTGCTCTCTCTATCATTCATGTTATATGACGTCCTATCAGAACCCAAGGAGTAAGAGAGAAAAACGAATGAGAAATTCATATCTGAATATTGCATTAATGAAAAAGTAAGTACAATATGAACATGTACTCCATTTATACACATGGAGTGAAAACAGAACTAACTAACCGAACTATCTTCAGTTTTAACAAACTCTACAAAGCTAACTACTTATCTAACTAACTCACCTTTTGATAAATGCAATCATCTGATACAACTCGTATACTGATGATAAATAACAAATATCAACACCCCCCTCAAGTTGGATGGTGGATATTTACCAAACCCAACTTGCCAATCAAACTCTTAAAGGGACCTGGCGACAAATTCTTAGTAAAAGGATTAGCTAATTGTGTTGCAGAAGAAACCGGGAGGAGATGTATAAGACCCAATGTGATCTTTTCACGAATCAGATGACAATCGATCTCTATATGCTTTGTTCTTTCATGGAAACTAGGGTTGTGAGCCAAGTATATTGCTGAGCGATTATCACAATAAACCGATATTGGTTTAGGAATTTTAACACTCAAATCATCCATGATATAACGAAGACACTGCAACTCGCAAGTCAACGAGGCCAATGCTCGATATTCTGCCTCTGAAGAACTTCTAGAGACCGTTGTCTGCTTCTTCGATTTCCAGCCTACTAATGAATTACCCAAAAACACACAGAAGCCTGCTATGGATCTTCTAGTATCAGAACATGTGGCCCAATCAGAATCTGCAAAGCCACTAGGTACGAGATCATTCTTCTGGGTAGAACAAACCATTCCCAGGAGCACCTTTGATGTATCTTAACACATGTAATGCAGCTTTCATGTGTTCGTCTATAGGATTCGAAACAAATTGGCTAAGTTGTTGTACTGCATGACATATGTCAGGCCTTGTAGTAGTCAGATACAACAACCTCCCAATAAGTCTCTTATATTTTCCAGCATCTCCATATGTTGTGCCTGACTCGCGATTCAACTTTGTTCCATGTTCCATTGGTGTAGAGGTTGGTTTAGATCCAATCACACCACCATCTGCAATCAAGTCTAAGGCATATTTACGTTGATTGATGACCATTCCTTCTTCTGTTCTGAGAATCTCAAGACCGAGAAAATAATGCAATTTACCCAAGTCTTTAATTTTGAATTCAGAATCCAGGAATGATTTAACATCTGAAATCTCTTTCATGCTATCTCATGCTAATACAATATCTTCAACATAGATTAACAAGGTTGTGAGTAAGCTCGATGTTACCTTGGTAAGCAAAGAGTGATCAACCTCAAATTGCTTGTATCCAATGGAGATTAATGCAGAAGTAAGACGAGAGTACCACTGTCTACTCGCTTGTCTCAATCCATACAAGGATTTTTGTAATCTGCAAACTTGGTTGGCTTTATGATGAACCCTTAGTTCATCAGGTTTTTAAGCATAAATTAATATCAATTTGTGTGATTAAATGGATGGAAAAGAGGTTAATGTCCTGGAAATCTCTCAAATACAAGTTCTGAAGCTTATGTCGAAAATTTACATTGTTTTGTAGGGAAATGAAGCTCAAGAAGCAAAAGAGAGAAGGAAGAAGATTCTGAAGAATGGGAAAATTCTAAGTGTTGGGCGCTAAAACGCCCAAAACTGAGCGTTTTAGCGCCCTGTTGCACAAAAGATGCTGGTGTTGAACATTAAAACGCCCAAAACTGAGCGTTTTAGCGCCTGAACATTAAAACGCCCAAAACTGAGCGTTTTAGCGCCTAAGACAGTTAATTTCCTATGTAATTGTACTTGGAGATTGAAGACTCAACTATCATGACAATGGAATTTGATCTATCTTTCTTCTCTTGTTTGTATTTCAATTATGTCTGAGTAGAGTCCTTTGTAGTCTGATTCAATGGAACTCAAGTTTGAATTTATGAATGGTTAATTAGATGTTTTGTTTATCTATTATATGATTGTATGAAGTTGTCTTGATTAATTCTTCATGTTGAGGAATAGTGTAGAACAGACATGTTTACATTATTTCTCTATTTTTGACAACTTCATCATCAGTGTTCTAGTAGCCAAGGGATTGATGCTAGGATTATGATGTGTTCTTAAGACCTTAGTAATTAATGCATGTAT